TAAAATATCCATATTACTTCCCTCACAGGACTGCTATCACAACCAAATCAATATCAGCTATCATTTATTAAATATCTACTATGTGTAAGGTACTTCATAAACATTATCTTCATTTCTTTTTCTTTTCTTTTTTTTGAGACGGTTTTGCTATAGGGTGCATGAACTTGCCAGAGTGACAGAGAGAGATGGAGAGAGAGAAAGTGAGAAATCACCCCCCAGGGACGATGGCCATGCCACAATACCAACCCCTCCTTTCTCCTTTCAGGACTTTGGACAAGCACACACATGTCCAGTGTGAGTTTCAAGCTGTTGGGTCTGGGGACTAGAACTGTAGTTGACCATGTGGGAGTCCAGCACCTTAACCACTTTGCCATCTCTTGGCACCTATTTTTCAAAATCTCTTTAGGTAGGTATAATCTATATATTTGGATGAAGAACTGGAAGCTAAGACTCATGAGCAATTTTATTTAAAACTACAAAGCTAAACGTGGTATAGCTGGGATTTGAATCCAGTTCAGATAATTTTCAATGCCTATTTTCTTTCTTTTCTACATTATTATTATTTGTGAAACCATTTTGCAACCTGTAAAGGGTCATATAGTAAGAATTTTGTTCAAGTATTTCCCCCTTTTCTCTGTAGACTTACGCTTTGACTCAGAATAAATATCATCTATCAGATTTTTTTCCAGAATAATTTTGAGGGTCACAAATGTAATAACCTGTGTTTAACAGCCAATAGTTTCATATTTAATTTATAACCTATTCTGAAAATTTCCCAGTCAATAAATTGCCAAGGATAATTGAAAAGTGAACAAAAACTCACAAAAGTCAAAGCTGAGACAGCCGGTATTCCTCTGTCTCCAAGGTGGGTGGGGCGTCCTGTGTGCTGGCCAGGCCTGGGTCTCCCTGGAGTTGGGCCATGTATCTCTGGCAATCCTGAACACGGTCAGCCCCAATGTTATATGTCTACTCTGGATCTCATAACATGTCTGCCTAGAGCTGGCCCTGCCACAGGATAGTGGGAGCAGTGGGCAGTACCGAGATGCCCAGCACTAGGATAATAATAATGATAATATTATTAAAATATCCATATTACTTCCCTCACAGGACTGCTATCACAACCAAATCAATATCAGCTATCATTTATTAAATATCTACTATGTGTAAGGTACTTCATAAACATTATCTTCATTTCTTTTTCTTTTCTTTTTTTTGAGACGGTTTTGCTATAGGGTGCATGAACTTGCCAGAGTGACAGAGAGAGATGGAGAGAGAGAAAGTGAGAAATCACCCCCCAGGGACGATGGCCATGCCACAATACCAACCCCTCCTTTCTCCTTTCAGGACTTTGGACAAGCACACACATGTCCAGTGTGAGTTTCAAGCTGTTGGGTCTGGGGACTAGAACTGTAGTTGACCATGTGGGAGTCCAGCACCTTAACCACTTTGCCATCTCTTGGCACCTATTTTTCAAAATCTCTTTAGGTAGGTATAATCTATATATTTGGATGAAGAACTGGAAGCTAAGACTCATGAGCAATTTTATTTAAAACTACAAAGCTAAACGTGGTATAGCTGGGATTTGAATCCAGTTCAGATAATTTTCAATGCCTATTTTCTTTCTTTTCTACATTATTATTATTTGTGAAACCATTTTGCAACCTGTAAAGGGTCATATAGTAAGAATTTTGTTCAAGTATTTCCCCCTTTTCTCTGTAGACTTACGCTTTGACTCAGAATAAATATCATCTATCAGATTTTTTTCCAGAATAATTTTGAGGGTCACAAATGTAATAACCTGTGTTTAACAGCCAATAGTTTCATATTTAATTTATAACCTATTCTGAAAATTTCCCAGTCAATAAATTGCCAAGGATAATTGAAAAGTGAACAAAAACTCACAAAAGTCAAAGCTGAGACAGCCGGTATTCCTCTGTCTCCAAGGTGGGTGGGGCGTCCTGTGTGCTGGCCAGGCCTGGGCCTCCAGTGTGAGAGCAGCCCCACCCCTGGACTGGGTGACTGTTGGGGAAGGAGCTGGGCCTCCAGCACCAGCCTCTGGTGTCTGCCCCTGACTACTTGTCACACTCTGCCACTGGGTTTGCCTTTTTTTTTTTTTTTTAAATAGATTTTTGCCATAGGGCGTATGTGCTTTCTGGAAAGACAGATACAGACAGAGAGGCACAAAATGAGAAATCACCCTCAGGGGGAATGGTCATGCTGCAATCCCTTCTCCTTCATTTTCCTCTTGGAATTTTGGACACATACACACACCTGGTGTGAATTTCAAGCCACCGGGTCTGGGACCACCGTGGTCAACTATGTGGAAGACCAGTGATGTAACCATTATGCCATCTGCTGGTCCCTGCCATTGGGTTTTTATCTAACTGTGTGCTGCAAGGAAGGAGTAGTACTGGTAGTAGCCCTCCCACTGTTCCTTTAATACTCTATAATTTATCCTCAGATGAAGTCAGGTCCCCCAAGAGCTGTTTATAAGCAAAGTTTTAGTCACTGTTAGACTGTTTTTTACTGAACTACACCTTGGCATGATGTCATCAGGGTAGATAGAAGCAGGCCGTTAGACTGGTACTGTATTTGCTGTGAGAGGTTGTTGAGGACATGCACACTGAATCATTTACTTTCTTCCTAGGAAATACCATGGCCTAAGTATCTTAACTCCTAAGTAATGATTTATTTTTTATTTTATAGACATTTTATTTTTTAGAAAGATTTGTTTAATTTTATTTGTTACGATTATTTATTTATTATTATTATTTATTTTTGAATTTGATCAGAGAGAGATAGAGAGGGAGAAAGGGAAAATGAGAAAGCAAGCCTCCAGGTCTGGGACTCAAACCCCAGGCGACCACGTGGGAGTCCAATGCCTTAACCACCATGTCATCTGATGGCCCCATCTTATGGACATTTTAAATTGTGAAATTATTATTTCTGTGTTTTGGCCACTAGGCAGTTCAGCACTAATTTTTTTCCTTTAGTCCTTGTAAAGTCTAGAAGACCTCAGCACACCTGTAAGGCTACTGCCTTTACCTCTGAAATTACTGTTTCCCTCCTTCCTTTCTTTCACTTCACCTTGATTTTCTCACTTGAACATACTATACTGCTTAAAAAAATATATGCAAACAGCTTCAGGTTACTGTTTTGGTCTAAGGAAACAAATTCAGGATGCCTGTTTGCATAGGACTCCATTATATCAGCTAAAGGAAAGTGACAAGATGTTTTGGGAGAAAAAAGTTCAGCAAATGGCATAATGGTTATGTTGTTCTACTCCCATGTAGTTGACCGTGGTTCAAGTCCTGGACCTGGTGGCTTAAAACACATGTCGGCCATGTGTGTGTGTATGCCCAAAGTCCCGAGAGGAGAATAGAGGAGAAGGGATTGCAGCATGGCCGTCATCCCCTGGGGAAGTTGATTTCTTGCTTTCTGTCTCTCTGTCGAGTGCACAGAGAAAAATCTAAGAAAAAAAAATAAAAATATGTTAGAGCATAAAACAAAGCACACTTACTCTCCCTGATTTCTTTCTTTTTTTTTTTTTTTAAGAGGTTTTTATCTCAGGGCACACGTACTAGTGTGTGTGTGTGTGTGTGTGAGCGCATGCTCATGTGCACATGCAAGTGTGTATGTATGTAAGACAGAGACAGTGAGAGAGAAAGTGAGAAATCACCCCCCAGGTAGAATAACCACACCACAATCCCTTCTCTTCCATTCTTCTCCCAGGATCTTGGGCATGCACACACATGTGCCTGGTGTAATTTTCAAGCCACCAGATCCAGGATTTGAACCATAGTTGGCTGTGTGGGAGTCCAACAATGTAACTGCTACACCATCTGTTTGGTCTTCCCCCTTTTATTCTTAGTTTTTGGTAAGGGCACATACAAGTGCCAGGGAGACAGAGAAGGAGACAGAGAGGGAAAGTGAGAAATTACCCCCTAAGGGGAATGGCCTCACTACAATACCTTCATCTCCATTCTCCTCAGGATTTTGGGCACACACACAACTTTGGCATGATTTTCAAGCCCCTGGGTCTGGGACTCAAACCTTGCAGTTGGCCATATGGAATCCAGGGCTTTAAACCTCCATGGCACCTGCTGGCCCCATCCCACTCCCCCTTTTTATTAGCTTAAAAGTTTGTTTCAGGCCTCTCAAATAGTTTTAGCTGTTTTCTTGGATGTATGTCTTAAATTTAACAACTTGCTAGTCCTCCTCCCATTTCTTCCTGGGGAGACAGTTCAGTCAACACTTGAACATACACAGCTTTTTTATGGAAGAAATGTGACCATGAACACCTTTTCTGTGAAGCAGCAGCCAATTTTCTGGCTTGCAAGGTCTAGTTTTTCCGGAGAGTAATGTTAAGGGGCCAAGTGACCGAACACCACACGATGGATGGATTATTTGGAGTCATAGCAGCACAGTGAAAGCTGCAGCCTTTGTGGAACCCTCTGTGGGCACAGCCTCATGTCCTCCTCTCTCAGCCCCCGGCTTCTCATTCAGAGCCTCGGTTTCACCTGTCCATGAAGTAACACACAATTCTTGCCTCAAACTAATCTCATTGCACCAGGGGTCTTCTTGTTGGGCCATGCCTTGGCTAGTGACATGATCAAGACCCCAGACATACTATTTTAAAAATAGGAACAAGTGGGACCAGCAGTTAGTGTAATGGCTATGTCGCTGGACTCCCATGTAATTGACCGTAGTTTGCGTCCCAGACCTGGTGGCTTAAAACTCACGCCGGGCGTGTGTGCATGCGTGCCCAAGATCCCAAGAGGAGAATGGAAGAGAAGGGAAATCCCCCCCTGGGGGGTGATTTCTCGCTTTCTGTCTCTCTGTCTCTGTCTGGCGAGTGCACGTGCCCTATAGAAAAAAACCCTCAAAAAAAAAAAAAATAGATAGGAACAGGTGACCTGAAGGATACAGGAGTATTAAAGTATAGAAGGCAAGAGGACCACCTCTCACTCCATTTACATCTTTCCTTTCTTCCCCTTTTTCCTCCAGAAGGAAAATTATGTGATAGGAATCACTGAAGATGAAGAACTAGGGCAGTTAACCAGCTGAACGCCCAGACAGGCACAGCTGTGACAGGTCCACGAGACCTCCTTCCTGGTTTTCAAAAGCTTCTAAATTTAGTCCTGTAAGTATACCCATGCACTTCAGTATATAGTCACCTCTCCTTTCTTTGTGGAATGCAGCATAGTCACACAAGAAAATGGCAGAGTCATTCACAGCAGCCTGAAAACTATTTTTTAAAATAATTATTTAATTTTATTATTATTATTATTAAATTGACCAGAGACAGAGCAAGAGAAAGAAAACAAGGCTTCAAGTCTGGGACTTGAACCACGGTCAGCCATGTGGGAGTCTGGCACCCCAACCACTATACCCCCTACTGATCCCCGGTCTGGAGACAATTAGTAGTTTGTTAACAAAAGATCACAATGAAGCATGCTAGACTATGTCATAGCAATGAAATGAGGTTATTTCTTAATATTATGTGTGCAGTGCATAGCTGTGTGGCCCAAGGTAGTGTTTTTAGGTTGATGTAAACTGGCTTTTGTGTAACAAAATCATGTGTTATAATTATGGGTTACCTACTCTGTAGAGTCCTTGATTGATAAGAAATTGTGGAGAACATGAGAACATGCCTATCAATTTCCACTATTATATTCTCAGAAAAGACAGTTCTTTTTTTCTTTCTTTTGTTTTTTTTTTAGAGGTTTTTGCTGCAGGGTACATGCGCTCGCCAGACAGAGAGAGAGAGAGACAAAGAGATAGGAAGCGAGAAATCGCCCCCCAGGGGTGATGGCCACGCTGCAATCCCTTCTCCTCCATTCTCCTCTTGGGATCTTGGGCACGCATGCACACGTGCCTGGCGTGATTTTTAAGCCACTGGGTCCGGGACGTGAACCACGGTCAACTACATGGGAGTCCAGCGACATAGCCATTACGCTAACTACTGGTCCCTTTGGCTTGTTTTTAAAGAGATATTTTTGCTCTAGGGCGTGTATGCATGCCAGAGAGACAGAGAGAAAAAGTGAGAAATCATCCCTCAGGGTAGATGGCCATGCTGCAACCCCTTCTCCTCTGTTCTCCTCTCAAGATCTTGGGTACGCATCTTAGGTACACATACACACACATTTGGCATGTTTCAAGCCTCTGGGTATGGGACTTGACCTGTGGTTAGCCATGTGGGAGTTCACCTTAACCACTGAGCCACCTGCTGCCCCAAGACAGATTCTTTTTTAATTTTTTAAATAATTTCTTCATTTAACTTTATTATTATTATTTTAATTTGATGAGAGAGAAAGTGAGAAAGCAACCCACTGAATCTGGGACTTGAACCATGGTTAGCCATGTGGGAATTCAGTGCCCTTAACACCATGCTACCTTCTGGCTGCAAGACAGATGCTTTTTTTTTTTTTTTTTTTTTTTAGAGTTTTTTTTCGCTACAGGGCACGGGAGCTACAGAGAGAGACAGACAGAAAGCGAGAAATCACCCCCCAGGGGGCATGGCCACACCGCAATCCCTTCTCCATTCTCCTCTCGGGATCTTGGGCATGCATGCACACACGCCTGGCGTGAGTTTTAAGCCACCGGGTCCAGGACGCGAACTATGGTCGACTATGTGGGAGTCCAGCGACATAGCCGTTGCGCTAACCGCTGGTCCCAACAGATGCTTATATTAATATTCTCTTAGGTCTGCTGTTGGGTAGGACAATACAACCATTCACTCTGTGCCTATTAAATCTTTGGTTTAAAAGGAATGTTTGTCATCCTTGAATAAGTGGTATCCATATATATATATATTTTTCAGGTATATCATCTTTTGTTTTGTTTTGAACTTTTTAATTTTTATTTTTATTATCATCATAATCTTCTTTACAGTGTTTTACATCAATCTCCCCGCTTCAACATTCAATATCTTTTCTGTTTTCCCCAATCATTATTCTAATTATTTTTTTAAAAACAGTCAATCACTATTTCTCATTTTGCTTGTAAAAAGACTTTACCCATCATGAAATACTTCTCAGACCAATCCAGTTGAGAATACTATACCTGTCCTCATCAACAGGTAATAAGTCATATCTGTTTCTTACTAATGTCCTGCCTCTCTATTGTTCTCTTGCTATCTTTCTCTATCCTCTTCTCTTCACCTCCCCCATTCCACACTGTCCTATTCTCGTTAAGTACCTTCACTGCTTTTATGTCTTCCAATTTTTCGCTCTCTACCATAGAGTGCGGATAGTCGGTATATATTGAGTGGATACATACAATATCTTTCTTTCATAGCCTGGCTTACTTCACTCACACTTTCTATCAAATGCCAGGGTCTTGTTATTTTTTTATGGCTGAGTAGTATTCCATAGAGTATATATACCACACTTTTCCAATCCATTCATCAGTTTGTGGACATTTAGGTTGGTTCCATGTCTTGGCAATTGTGAATAATGCTGCAATAAACATGGATGTGCAAGCACTTTTCTGACTGAGCGTTCTCCTGTCTTTTGGGTAAATACCCAGAAGTGGGATTGCTGGATCAAATGGTAGTTCTATTTGTAGATCTTTGAGGAACCTCCATATTGTTCTCCACAGTGGTTGAACTAGTTTACATTCCCACCAACAGTGTAGGAGGGTTCCCTTTTCACCACATCCCCGCCAACACTTATCACTTTTTATATTCTTAATCTTTGCCATTCTGACAGGGGTTAGGTGGTATCTCATTGTGGTTTTTATCTGCATCTCCCTTATGATGAGGGATGTTGAGCATTTCCTCATATGCTTTTTGGCTGTTCGTATGTCTTCCTTAGAGAGACTTTTGTTCAGCTCACTTTCCCATCTTTTAATCGGGTTAATCATTTTTTTTCGCATAAGGCACTTGAGTTCCCTATGTATTCTCGTTATCAGTCCCTTGTCTGAGGCATATTTAACAAAAATATTTTCCCATTCTGAGGGTTGTCGGTTCACACTTGTTACTGTGTCCTTTGCTGTGCAGAAACTTCTTAGTCTAATATAGTCCCACTTGTCTATTTTAGGGATTATTGCCTGTGCTTTGGGAGTCTTATTTAAGAAGTCTTTGCCTACTCCAATGTCTCCCAGAGTTTCCCCAGCATTTTCCACAAGTAGTTTTATTGTCTGAGGTCTTAGGTTCAGATCTTTGATCCATTTTGAGTTGACTGTTGTTAATGGTGAAAGATGGGGGTTCAGTTTCATCTTTCTGCAGGTGGATACCCAGTTTTTCCAGCACCATTTACTAAAGAGGTTTTCCTTTTCCCAATGGATTGACTGATATCCTTTGTCAAAGATCAGTTGGCTATAAGCTTTGGGAGTTATTTCTGGGGTCTCTATTCTCTTCCATTGGTCCACATGTCTGTTTTTATGCCAATACCATGCTGTTTTGATGACCACAGCTTTATAGTATATCTTGGGATCAGGGAGTGATATGCCTCCTACTCCATTCTTCTTACGCAGGATTGCTTTTGCAATACGAGGTCTTTTATGGTTCCAGACAAATTCTATAATTGTCTTTTCTAGATCTCTGAAGAATATCTCTGGTATTTTGATTGGAATTGCATTAAACATGTAGATTAATTTGGGTAGAATTGCCATTTTGATTATGTTAATTCTACCAATCCAGGAGCATGGGATGTCCTTCCACTTTTTTATGTCACTTTCAATGTCTTTTTTAAGATTCTCGTAGTTTTCTTTATAAAGGTCTTTGACTTTCTTAGTTAGGTTTATCCCTAGATATCTTATACATCTTGTGGCTACGGTGAAAGGGATTCCTTTCTTCAGCTCTGCTTCATTCAACTTGTTGTTCATAAATAGAAATGCTATAGATTTTTGGATATTGATTTTGTATCCTGCCACCTTACTGTATTCACTTATTACTTCAAGCAGTTTTTTCATGGATACCTTTGGGTCTTCTAAGTATACCATCATGTCATCTGCAAATAAAGATATTTTCAACTCTTCTTTGCCTATTCGAATGCCTTTAATACTGTTCTCTTCTCTGATTGCAATAGCTAAGACTTCCAGTACTATATTAAAGAGCAGTGGAGAAAGTGGGCAGCCTTGCCTAGTACCTGTTTTCAGAGGAAAAGCTTTCAGCTTTTCCCCATTCAGTATAATATTAGCTGTAGGTTTTTCATAGATTGCTTTTATTGTGTTCAGAAATGACCCTTCTATACCAATCTTACTGAGAGTCTTAATCATAAAAGGATGTTGTATTTTATCAAACGCTTTCTCCGCATCAATTGAGATGATCATATGGTTTTTATCTTTCTTTCTGTTAATGTGGTGTATTACATTTATGGTCTTGCGTATATTGAACCACCCTTGCATCCCTGGTATAAAGCCTACCTGGTCGTGATGAATGATCTTTGTTATATGTTGTTGGATACGATTTGCGAGTATCTTGTTGAGAATTTTCGCATCTATATTCATCAATGATATTGGTCTGTAGTTTTCCTTTTTTGTCATATCCTTATCTGTTTTGGGGATGAGGATGATGGAGGCTTCATAAAATGAATTTGGAAGGTTTCCTTCCTTTTGAATCTTTAGAAATAATTTTAGTAAGATAGGGGTTAATTCTTCCTTGAAAGTTTTGTAGAATTCACAAGTGAAGCCATCTGGGCCTGGGCTTTTCTTTGTTGGGAGATTATTAATTACTGATTCAATCTCCTGGCTTGTTATAGGTCTATTCAGATTCTCTATGTCTTCCTGATCCAATCTTGGTAGTTTATATGCATCCAGGAATTTGTCCATCTCCTCCAGGTTATCTTGTTTGTTGGCGTAAAGTCGCTCATAGTATCCTCTAATGATATTATGTATTTCTGCTATGTCCGTGGTAATATTGCCTGTTTCATCACATATTTGATTAATCTGGTTTCTTTCTTTCTTCTTCTTGATCAGTCTAGCCAATGGAGTATCAATCTTGTTGATCTTTTCAAAGAACCAGCTTTTGCTTTCATTTATTTTCTGTATGGTTCGTTTATTTTCTATTTCATTTATTTCTGCTCGAACCTTTATTATTTCTTTTCGCCTGGCATTTTGGGGGTTCGTTTGTTGTTGTTTTTCCAGTTCTCTGAGGCATGATGATAAGTTATCTACTTGCCATCTTTCCATCCTTTTCTTATGTGCACTAATTGCTATGAATTTCCCTCTTATGACTGCTTTTGCTGTGTCCCATAGGTTCTGGACACTTGTGTCCTCATTATCATTTGTTTCCATAAATTTGTTTATTTCAGCCTTAATTTCTTCAGTAGTGAAGAAGTCATTCAGAAGTAGGTTGTTCAGTTTCCATGTGTTCGTGTGTTTTCGGGGTTGTTTCTTGAAATTAATCTTGAGTTTAATTCCATCATGGTCAGAGAAGATGCTGGGTACAGTTTCTATGCCTTTGAATCTGTAAAGGCTTGATTTGTGTCCTAATATATGATCTATCTTTGAAAAGGTTCCATGTCGGGGTGAGAAAAATGTATATGTTGTGGATGTAGGGTGGAAAGTTCTATAGATATCTGTCAAGCCCATTCCATTTATAGTATCATTTAAGTCCTGTATCTCTCTATTTATTTTCTGTCTAGAAGATCTGTCTATAGGAGATAACGGGGTGTTGAGATCTCCAACAATTATAGTATTTTTCCCTATGTCTCCTTTTAGCTCCAGCAGTCTTTCCTTCACATATTTAGGCGCACCTGAGTTGGGTGCGTAGATATTTATAAGGGTTATATCTTCTTGCTGGATTACCCCATCTACTATTATATAATGCCCTTCTTTGTCTCTTCTTACAGTCTTTGTTTTAAAATCTATTTTGTCTGAGATCAATATCGCTACTCCAGCCTTTTTCTGATTTCCATTTGCATGGAATATCTTTTTCCAGCCCTTGACTTTTAGTCTATGTATATCTTTATCCATAAAGTGAGTTTCTTGTAGGCAACAGATAGAGGGTTTCTGTTTTCTTATCCATTCAGCTAGTCTATGTCTCTTAACTGGGGAATTTAATCCATTGACATTCAATGTAATTATCGATATTTCCATACCTGATCCTATCATTAAGTGAGCCATTTTCTTAGTTGTTTTTTGTTCTCGTATAACTGTCTCTGATTTTTTAGTTTTCCTGGTATAGTACTCCCTTCAAAACCTCTTGAAGAGCTGGTCTGGTGTTGGTAAATTCCTTCAAATTTTGTTTATTTGAGAATGTTTTTATCTTTTTTTCCCATATAAAAGATAATTTTGCCGGGTATAGTATTCTTGGTTGAAATTGTTTTTCACTCAACACTTTGACTATGCTTCCCCATTCTTTCCTTTCCTGCATTGTTTCTGCTGAGAGATCCGATGTTAGCCTGATGGGGTGACCTTTGTAAGTAACCTGGCGTTTCCCTCTTGCCAACTTTAGTATCTTGTCTTTATCTGTTGTTTTTGCCAGTCTGGCTATGATGTGCCTTGGAGATGATCTTCTTGGGTTGATTCTACTTGGGGTCCTCTGTATTTCTTGGGTCTGGATATTTGAATGCCTTTCTAGATTTGGAAAGTTTTCTTCCAGGATCTCATGGAATAAATTTTCCAGGCCCTTATTATTTTCTTCCTCCTCCGGAATACCAATTATCCGAATGTTGGGGCGCTTGATGGTGTCCAGTATTCCTCGTATATTATCCTCATTTTTCATGGTTGTTTTCTCAATCTTCTTGATACTTTTATCTAGGTCAGATGTTTTGTCTTCTACGTTAGAGATTCGGTCTTCTGCCTGGTCTAACCTACATTTAATGCTTTCAAGGGAGGTTTTGATTTCCTCTATCACATTCTTCAAACCTAGAAGTTCCATCTGGTTCTTGTTTAGGGTATCCATTTCTTCTTTCAAGTCATTAAAGGACTTCCTCATCTCCTGGAGCTCCTTGTCTCTTTTCTCTTCCATCTCAGTTAGTTTGGTCACTACAAATATTCTCGTGCAGTGCACGATTCAAACCACCAAAATTCAAAGAGTCCAAAGGCTAGTGGGAAAGGGTCAGAGGATGAGTGACAGGACCAGGTTGGTCGGGTCTGCAGCCTTAGTCCACCTGGTGTCCGTAACTGCTGGCTGGCTCGATCCAGATTGCGGGTGTGGTGTGGTGGAAGTTCACCTTAAAGTCCTAGACAACCCACCTGGGGTCCAAGGAGGAGGAACAGTGGGGATGCGTGAAGATTTGGAAGGGTTGGGCCTGCAGCCTCAGTTCGCCTGGTGTCTGGAACTGCTGGCCGGCTCGCACTGGGTTGCGGGTGGGGTGGCGTGGGAGTTTGCCTTAAAGTCCCAGATAACCAACCTGGAGTCCAAGGAGGAGGAACGGTGGGGATGCGTCTTTTTTTTTTTTTAAGAGAGATTTTTTCTATAGGGTGTGTGCACTGACTGGAGAGAGAAAGTGAGAAATCACCCCTGGAGGGATGGCCATGCCATAATCCCTTCTCCTCCATTCTTCTCTTGGGATTTGGGACACACATGCACATATGCCAGGTGTGAGTTTCAAGTGGCTGGGTCCTGAACTTGAACCACAGTCTACTACATCGCAGTTTAGCAACATAGCCATTATGCCATCTGCTGGTCCTGATATCCATATTTTTAAGAAAGTAAAACCAAAGAAAACTTTGAATGCCATGGTGACTTGGGAAGTATCTTATGATATTTCAAAGCCATTCTTGCAAAAAAAATTAATAATGCTCTAAGTAAAATTCACATTTTCCTTCTCTATTTTGTTTTTGAAAGCTTTCTTTTTTTGAGAGAGAGTTTTGCTGTAGGGTGTGTGTGCTCAGATGACTGGACAATGTCTGTGTCTACAAGACAGGAGGCCCCTAAGCCTGTCTGGATGTGGCTTAGTCTGACAAAAGACTAACATTTAAACTGATTTTCTGTGGTCTTGTTCTGAAAAATATTTTGAGCTGGTAAAAAACTATTGCAGTAGGAGGTCATATGACATTCATGTGATAAATATATCAAATTGGACATGAGCACCCTCGTAGTAAGATATGAATTTGGATCAGAATAAAATCCTGAAATATTAATATGAACTTTTTATTACTTACTACTTTCTAAAAGTGCATTTAAGCTGTCAGATTTGACCATAACATTTCAGTAAATAAGATAAACATATCTTTAAAGAGGTTCAAGTTATTTTATACAGGTAACCTTGAAGATCTAAAGAAATATAAGGTAAATATATAAAGGGCTTTGCAACACAGAAGAGAAGGTATAGTTAATTTTTCTTCACTCTCTTGAAAAGATCACATTAAAGTATTGGGCTAGTTTCTTTTACTTTTTAAGATTTATTTTATTTAACTTCATTTGTTTTAATTTGACCAGAGGTCAGAGTGGGGGTGGGGTGGTTGAGAAAGTGAGAAAGCAAGCCACCAGGTCCAGGACTCTAACCATGGTCGGCCATGTGACAGTCCAGCACCCTTAACCACCATACCACCATCTGCTGGCCTCGGGCTAGTTTCTTTTGAAAATCATAGATTGAAAGGTACAGAAATGTATCATTACTCTTAAAAAAAAAAACTTAATCTTAATTTATATTAGATAAAAGATTTGGAAAATACTACAGAAACCTGTTTAAGAAATGAAGTCTTGGCAAGCTGAAAGGTTTAACATTTTCTTTCAGTACAAAGAGGAAGGCAATTAATTAATCCACTTCAGCTGAGCAGAATTTTGATTACTCTCCCAAACCTAAGCAGAGCCTCGACAAATGCATCTTCTGTGCACACCCACCTTCACAGGATCTGGAGTCCAGGTCAGAGCTTGGTGGGGGCAGGTGTGGGTTGGAGGATAAGGAGTGTCTGCCTTTGGGCAATACTGTAAGTCAAAGTCCTGGGCCATGTGAAGTGGATTTTCTCTCAGCCTTTGCTTTCCTACAGCCAGAGCGCTTCTAATGAATGAAGACTATCTTTTATGAATTCGCAAAACTGTTGTTGTTAGACATTCAGTGAGATGCTCTGATCTAGCACTTGTGTTGTTTGGCAATGCTGCCTTAGTGCTAAGAAACCGAGTAAATAAATGTTTACTAGTGATAGCAGCCTTAATGATATAGTTGTTCTAACAATGAAAAGGAAGACTAAGAGTTCAGAAACCAAATTGTGTGTGTATGTAATTTCAAAGAACTGGCATTTTATAATGCAAATTCAGTGGACTTCCCCTCCTCACCCCACTTTTTTTGTCTCTGAACTCATGAGTCTACCTATATTAGGGACAACATATTAAATTTTTAGAGATGCTCTCAGGGTTAATAAAATGGAGCAAGCAGATTATTTCACCAAGTTTGAACTTTCAGTGACAGGTTTATGGCATGACCATACCCCAGTGGGGGTTCTCTCTTTGGCAAATGCATGTGCCTTCTTTTCTTAAAAAAAAAAAAAAAAAAGAAAAAGAAAAAAAAAAGGTGCTTAAAGATAAGCGAATGGAAAATAGTTGTTGAAAGGTAGTATAGAAACAAAACTGGCTTCAGGACCAGCAGATGGTGTAATGGTCACAGGACACCCCCATAGTCGACCGTGGTTTGAGTCTCAAACCTGGCACCTTAAAACTCAGGCTGGGCATATGTGTGTACATGCCCAAAATCCCAAGAGGAGAGTATAGGGGAAGAGACTGCAGCGTGGCCATCACCCCTGGGGAGTGATTTTTTACTTTATGTCTCTGTCTCTTTGCAAGTGCATTTGCCCTCTGGCGAAAATTTCTCTTGAAACAAAACAAAACAAAACAACTGGCCTCCAGGGGGTGCTCGAAAGCAG